CGAAAGGCCGATCGGTATAATGTACAGCATTCATTTCATACGTCGTGCGTTCTGACTGACACATGTTTAAGAGTCACGATTATAGTAAATAAAGGTATAAACACACCGTATGTTTTTTAAAATTTTATTTAACACTATAATATTACATCGAGCAGTAACACCGCTGTTGTTGAATCTCTGGCTGGTACGTTGTATGGCAATCTGATTTCTCCAGTGGTGCTATCAGAGCTTGTATCTTGAGAATGTCATTTGGGAAATTCATTCTCCATATATGGTCGACGTAGTTCTTGTTGAGTTTCAATTGTATGGGTAGTTCATTTATATTTTGGTTATAGTACCATACACCGATGAATAACGACAAATGATTCCCGTACAGGTCACAGGCGAATTTATGTATCGTCGCATCTTCGAGTTCCTATTGACAATAAAATAAACGAAACTAATGTCTCAGTCCTGGACCACGGAAAATAATACTAATAATAATAACCAAGTAGTTGCTAACCGTGAGCAATTGTTTCAGATTGCCTTTCTCTTTTATATCCAGTTCCACCACACACTGTTCATTCGTCAATGTCTTCATGATTAATGATGAGTTCACTCACTGCCTTATTTATATATATGTACACAGTGTAAATCTTGGAAACACTTTCATTCATTAAAAAAACTCACCGATTTAATTGAAAACGTACTGTTGTAAATAAAAACACGTGTATATAATAAAACACTTATATTTTCTTTTCAAAAAAACAAACAAAACAGTTGTGTTTAATAGTATTTTTTTTCTTACTAGATAAGTGTTATTAAAAACACTTTTTGATGAAAATTACGCAGATTGTAATTTTTTTTTCAAAAATAAAATGTTTTTACGGTGACATAAATTAAAGTGTTTATTGATAGAACATTTATGGACTAGTGCCGGGAACGGGTGCGTATGTGACAGGGTTAATGACTTGTGTAGCGACAGATGTCGTGGATGTTTGTCATACGCGAGGAGGAATGTCGGGAGAGGCGGTGTGCACCACATCGGAAGTGTCGGCAGCGGGTGTATGTGACAGGGTTACTTCGGGTGTAGGCGACAAATAATAGGCGGTCCAGAGTGGAAACACCGAGAACGAGTGTGACACGATTCGCGATTATAAATCACAATCATCAAGTGATTTTAAAGTGGGGACAAAAATGTGTCACACTCAGTGACTAAAACGACTACACATATTGTTTTTTCAATTTCGTTTATTTAAAATTCGTGAAGCGACGTTCTTTAAAAACTTCTAATGCTTCCGGACTTAATACAACATTGAGATGATTAGTTTTGTTCAAGATATCAGTTATTATCACTTTTATTCGATTAGAAGTTCTTCTTGCCACCTACTTAAAAAACAAAACAAAAAAACAACAAATTGTTATGAAATGGCGGGTGATTAGTGCAATTAGTGATCGCAAAAAAAAATATTACATACTGCCAAGATAACCATAAATCCTCACTTTTACGCACTGACAAGTTAACCACAGACTCTCACTTTACACACTGACAAGTTAACCACAGACTCTCACTTTATATACCGACAAGTTAACCAAAGACACTCAATTTACGCACTGACAAGTTAACCACAGACTCTCACTTTAAATACCGACAAGATAACCAAAGACTCTCAATTTACGCACTGACAAGTTAACCACAGACTCTCACTTTACACACTGACAAGTTAACCT